GGGCGGTGCACCCCCTGAAGGAAGTGCCACCGATGTTGCCGGTGGTGCCTGTGTGTGGTCGCTACTCCCTACCCTACTCCCTTGCCACCGACATTGCTGGTGGTGTCTGCAGGTGGTCACCAATCACTGCTGGCCACCACTGATACTGCTGGCAGCATCCGGTTGGTGTTTGCCACTTCCCCCCACCACCGACACCACCACGGCCACCCTTTTGGGAGTTCCCCGCTTATCCCCGCCACGTGTCCGCCGCTGCCTGTGGGCAGTTGCCATGCCCCCCCAGCCTCCGGGGCATGCGTCATTCATGATGTGGTATGTGGTGCTGCAGACATGTTTGCAGCACCACATACCACACAGTCCAGAGTTCTCTGTGCTGCAAGGGCATGCTGCCTGAGCGTGTGCTGCTTTGGGGTTTTTATGGTGGTCTAATTAAAACAATCAGAGCAGACTCCATTAATTGAGTCTGTTCCATGTTCTAATTAGAATACTCCAGCATCACCTCACTGATACATGTATTAAACCCCCACACAATTTTAAATGGCCATGGGGGCGCTTTGTCTAAACCTTGTCAAATGAGCATTAGATAAAGCATCCCACAGCTATTTTAAAACACGTGACAGCTTAACACATGTGACAGTGAGACATTTTAATTAGAGCGGCTGTCTGGGAGCCACTCTAATTAAAATGCCCTCCCCCTCCCCAGATCACATGTCTGGACACCTGCTGTGTAGTCTAGACTTGGCTGTTTTTATTCTCTTCTGATTGAGCTATATACAGTATATTAATGTTCACTGGACCAGAGAAGAGAACCCAGACCTACCTTCACCTAGACAAGTATCTCACGGACAGAGTATCGCTTTCCTTCCTGCCCCATGAATATCTAAGTATATGAAGAGGTGCATCTTCAAATGCAGATAGTGAGTGAGTGAGTGAGTGATACCCAAGTGGTTAGAACATATTCCTAAGAAATGGGAGATGCTGGTCCAAGTCCTCTCAGGCAGAATAAAGATATAAAACCAGGCCTTCTGCATTGCTTGTAAATGCTCTAACCAGTGCCATGGCAGGGAAGTTTGGTGACTGAGGCAAAGCCCGCAGAGGCAGCCCACCCTTGCCCTGTGCATGGATTCAGGGGGGGCACACACCTCCCCTTGCTTGCCTAGGAGTGCACACAGTGGTGGGAGATGCCCTCCCCCTGTCTCCATGCCCCCTCAAATGAGCCACTCATGGCTCTGTCCCATGCCCCACCCCAGCTGGGCAGCACTTGTTGGTACCCTTTCGCTTTGGCACCTGGGGTGGTTGCCCTGCTTGCCCTGCTGCCTCCTCCCCTCCCCCCGCTTTCTATGGTACTGGCTTTAATCATTCATCTATTTGTGAAAAGGTACTAGCACTATTCCCACTAGCTATGTTTTATTGTCAGGCTTTATTTTGCAGGAGTGCTATAAGCCTATTTTGCAGGAGTGTAAATAAGCCCAGTAGGGCTTATATACAAGCTAGGTGCTTACTTGCTCCGTAGTGTCAAGACTTGGGTGGTTTCCTAGCATACCTTAAAGCAGCTGTTTAGATGACATGGGAAGGTTACTTGACATTTCTCATTGGGTGGTTGATTCCAGCCCTTCAACCTGCCTGTGATGGCAGTTCTGTTGCACACTTGTTTAGTTTTCAGGCAACCCTTTCAGGCTTGCCAAATAACCACAAACCTAAATCAACATCCTTCTCCAAGTCCATCACTAAAACTCTTTTATGCTGTGATGTCTATAAATCCATCACTGCATTAAGCAGAGTATGTGCTGAAACCTTTGCCCATTATGGTGACACATCATCACATTATTCCATTTGCTTCTCTGTTGGTTCTCTTCTATTATAATTAGCCTTTCAGTGCAGCAGAAACAAAATCATTGTTTTGTCCTGGTTCATGACTGGAGTCCACAAGCAATACAAAAATAATATAAGAATATGGTGAAAAATCTAATTCATCATAATAAAAAAAGAATTAGAAGTCTTTCCAGATAAATGCATTAAAAGACATTTTTTGACGGATATTTATTTATCAAATAAGTTTAAGTGATGACCAAATTTAAGGAAATTGAAATTAGCCTGTGGATTATCCACTAAACACAAAAGTGATGTTGGTCATACTCAGGGGAGAATTGCATTTGTGGGTTCCTGCGTCCCTGAAATCAAGCGGGTGAGTGGTCAATATATGTAGGTATTACTGCAGGATTGGACTGAAATCTGTCAGCTACAATAGTCACAATGTTGTGGGTTGGGTGTCACTTCATTCAGGACAGTTGCATAAAACAGTTACAGTCTTTTTTTGGATCCATATAACCATCAGTCACATTCTTCTCTCCCTTTTCCCCCACCCTCCAGCATATGCACACTGTCTGTATTATCTCTTGAAACCAATGCACCTGGAAGACACATGTGGGCACTAGGGGTGCACTGATAGAGATTCTTGGGGCCGATACTGATAGTTGATTTTTAAGGAGGCATATCGGCTGATACCAATCCAAATTCTGATATGCCGCCTGGCAGCTTGAAGAGCAGTGTCCAGCTGGTAAGTCTGTTGTGGTAGAAGGGGAAGGGGAAGGGAAGGGGCATGTGGGGGGAAGATCAAGGACCCTGTAGTGAGGGACATGTGCCCCCAGATCGGTGTGGGGTGAGGTGGCTGCAGGCTGGGGCCATGGCCATGCTGGGCTCTTCCCAGTGGAGGCTGAGCAGGGGTGTGCTCGGGGTGGGTGGCAGTCACACTGGGAGGAGAGTTGGGAGGGCTACAGTGAATTTTAGGTTGGCTTCAATACCCCCCTAGTACCTCTCCCAGTGCTGCCACCACCCACCCTGAGTGCAGCCCGGCTTAGCTCCACCAGGAGGAACTCGGTGCAGCCCTGGCCCCAGCCCACAGCAGCCACCTTGCCCTGCACAGATACAGGGGAACATGCCCCCCCATGGCCTCCCAGGGTGCACACAGAGGTGTGAGCTGCTCCCCCACTCTGTAGCCCCCAAAGGAGCCGCGGATACCTTGATTGGCTCCCCCCCACGCCCCTTCCCTTACCCTCCAAGCTTCCCTTCCCTTCCCTCTCCAAGCTGTCGGGCTGTCGGGTTGCACTTCTGGCTCCATGCAATCTGCGGATGCATGTGTGCACAGCGGATTTATTTGCCACATTATCAGCTGCATCAGGAAAAAAAAGCTGATTTTCGATATAGTTAATTTTCTTTATATCGGTGCTGATCCGGTATCAGACCGATGTATCGGTGCACTTCTAGTGGGCATATGTGTGTAGTATTAGTCACAGTCTATTACTTTATAAGGGCTTCTGTGTCTATGAAACAGGGAACACAGAGACTGGCTTTCACAGACACTGGAAACTTGTCCCAAAGTTACGCATAAAGAGAGAGCACTTTAGGCTAACTGTTGACTGAGAGGAGCTTTGAGCTGCAAGGGAAGAGACTATCTCCTTCTGTGTGACTTCCACTGTGCTCACACATACAGGGATGTGCACACTGCTTGTGAATAAACATACCTGACTCCATCCTCAGTTTACCTTCCTCAGTGAACCAACCTGAAGTACCCTGAATTTTGGCTAGCTACTTTCTTCAAAATGAGCTAGCAGCAGCAAGCTATTTGTGGACTTGGACTAGTCTGTTGGGTACGTGCTTTGCCTTTGGCTAGACTTTCATGCACATGGGCTTTTGACTCCAAGATATGAAAAAGAAACGTGAGTGTGAAGAAACTGCAGATTATCAATTACCTCCTGCTGTCTTACAAGGAAGGCATCAATAAAACTTCGCTGATCATTTTTATCCAGTTTCTTGAAGCGTTCTATGAAAACAACCTTTATAAAAGCATGCAGCTCATCTCTGTTTCGAAGAACAGTCTTGTGACCCTTCAGGAGAAATCCAAGGGCCGGGAACAAATTATAGATCTAAATAATAAGAGACATCATAGATAGCAGAAATAAATACTGAGAATACTTTGTGTGTGGTAACACTTATGAATCAAAGTTCTGAACACACTTTACTAAAGAAAGTAAATGTTTTTCTGCCTAATTTGACTAATTAACTGGGTTCATGTATATGTTCATTAATGCACCGTAATTAAGGTGCATTAATTTTAGTACAGTAAAACCTCTGTTATCCGGCATCCCGCAGGAATGGGGGATGCTGGATAACAAAATATGCCGGTTAATGGAGCGGCCCAAAGAGGCGTCCTTGCCTGTTTGGGCTGCTACTTCTCCTGCTGCGTCTGGGTCATTGCCACCCCTCCCATGGCATCGCCAACCCTCTTGTGGCATTGCTGACCTTCCTGTGGGCCCCACGGGACAGGGAGGTGGGCCCCACACAGCCTGCTATGCCCTGGGCCTTAGGGCTTGGCAGCACAGGTTGCTTTCCCCCAGGCCATGGGGGCTTGGAGAAACCGGAAGTGCCACAGTGGGCACTTCCAGTTTCACTTTACCTTACAAGCTGGCATGCTGGTTAATAGAACATGCTGGCTTGTAAGGTGCTGGTTAGTGGAGCTTTTACTTGTACCTGTAATTCCAGGTACTGACTTCATGCGCTGTAATCAGTGCATTAGCACTGGTACATGCTCTTTTGTGATGATAATGCATAGTAGACTAGTTCTACTGCCCATTAGCACAGGTTTTTCCTGCCATGCTAATGGGCAGTAGAATTAGTCTACTTCACTTGTAGAGTTGCATGTAGACGTGTCCATTGAGGTGCAGGGAACTTGTATGTTGTGCTGAATAGTGTGAGCAGTTCACAGACCCTTGTGTACTTAGTGAACTTTCCTAGGTTTCACAAAGGCAAAGGAGGCAAGCTGATTCTGATGGCTAGTCAGATTTTCAAGTCAAATTCTCATGTCAAGTTTAAAATAAAATACTTAATCTCATTTCATTTTTTCAACTTGCTGTACTGGGAATAGCTAACAGAAATTCTCCTTTAAGAGCAGTGTGACCGAATTGGGGCGGATATGCTATAGCACTGTAAATGCCGTTGGAGAGGCCATTGAATGATTTAAGAGTACTGAAACATAACCTAGACATTGTAGGAAACCATGTCACTTTTAGAAAGGCAGTGGAATCTCTCTCTTCCGTGCCATAATGCTTTAACCCAGTAAGTGATGTGGGAAGAACGGGTAGGAAAGGGGTGCAGTGGCTTCTTAGATAAGAGCAGCCAGGTATAACAGCATGCCAAACTGTTGACTTCAAGAATAGTGCCTCCCTTCATAAATCGTGTTCTGCCCATGTAGGAGACAGGCACAGACATATCCAAGATGGGGCGATTGTGGGGTGGCAAGTGTCCACACATTTGGCATTAGATAAAGGGATGAGGAGGGCGAGAGGATAGCACCATCCATCTCTCTGTGTTCTGGAATTGTACTATAGCACCTGTTCTGGCCAGAGCCTTGCTGGTAAGCCAATGAGCTCAGAGAGCTCACTACACACGCAACACACAACTGAAAAGGGGTGCAACCACACTCCCTGTGTGCTCTATGTATCTGCCTGTGAAGTCAGGAGATGATGAGGATACTGAAAAGTACAGAGCCCTATAAGAAGAGGAAAGGGGTTATTTGTCACTAAGATTTTGAGATTAGGTGCATACTTGAGATTAGGTGCCTAAGAAGACAGGCTACCACAGATAGGATCCATGGATAGGATCCATGGAGGAGTCTAAAGGAATGAGGGTTCTCACATGCAGGAAAAGGTGAGTCTGAGGGAGGAACTAGGTCTACATGCCATGTAGGGTTTCCCCCTCCCTCCCCCCAAAGATATGCTTTCTTTAAGGAACTCTGTTTTAGATAAATAATACCATGGAGTATAGAAGGTATTTGGTGGCCAATTATCACTCCACTCTATCTATGACTACATGGTGCTATGCTGAGGCCACAGAGCAATACCAGAGCTAGTTATGAATGAGCCAGCTCACAACCTACAGTAGACATAGGAGCAGGGAGCTGCACCTTGGCTTAAGTGCCTTATTTCACTGCAGGAACTGGAGCCCTAGTTTTCTATAGGAAGAAGTTCTTGACTGTATACATATACGGGGGTATATACCTAGATAAAATTACATATTATCCTCCCAAGTTGGATTCTATCTGATTAGTAGGAAAGATGTAATATTCTGCCAAAGCCATACAACAACATGCATGCATTTGAACAGTGACATTCAAATAATCAAAACTACCTGAACTGAGGGCAATCCAAGAAGCCTGGCATTTTCATGGATCAAATGTAGGAGTCTAATGAATCGGGGGTCTTCATAGTCAAATCGCTCTCCAAGTAATATTGATATGATGATATTCGCAACTGCTGCATTCATTGTTATAGTAGGCTCAAAGGGCTTGCCTAAAAAAAATTGAAATCAAGGAAGAGATTGGGCAAATAGTATGGTTAATAGTAAGTTGTTATTATTCTTTAATCTGTAACCATAGCTAATAGGCTTTCTGCCATAGAGCACATTCTTGGTCTGGTCCTTATTCTTAGATGTGGGAGCCACAGTCCATGTGTTTTAGGCCCCAGAACTGAGCATGGACTAGGGATGCAAATATCGCTAAAACATTAACTGTTTAACCTCCACCAATAATATATTGGTTAAACGGGTAACCGATAGCTCATACCTAGTTTAGTGACCTCTGGCAAGAACGGCTGTGGCCCCAACCTCTTCTGGCTTCACCATGAGCCTGGTGCTGCGTGGGTCCCAGACTGCTGGTGGGGAAATACGGAGCGGGGTGGCAGGTATGGTTGAGCCAGTAGGGGGCACTGCCCAGCTGTAGTGCCACAACTTCCCATCACCCCCATGGGCAGGGGCTGAGGCTGCAGATGGAGATGGGTCTGTGCCCAGATCCTACCTCCATGGGGAGGGAGGAACGGGAATGCCAGACCCACCACAGGGATCAGGCAGGGCCTTCCTACCACGGCAGCAAGATTCCTGGCTGTATGGTGGGTCTGCCTGGCCCCCCTGCAGAAGCAGGGGCTAGACATGGTGATGGTCTCCCTGCGCCTGCCACTGTACTTGTGTCGCTATAGCCCAAAACTAGAAGGCTTCTCTGCACTGCTGGGCCAGGCCTCCCCAGCTTGCCCTGGGGGAAAAGGGGCGGGGTCCAAACCCAATAGGGTAGCTGCATCATTCCCTCTCCTGCCCATGGTGCTAGGGCCACGTAGGCAGGGCTGAGCTCACAGCTGTCAGGGCATTTCTGATGGGTGGCAGCACAGCAGGTACCCTGCAGGGAGTTCAGGAATCCCCTGGGGCTGCACTCACTGCACAGGGGTCAGCAGTGACCCCTCAGACCTAGCAGCGCCTGCTTCTGCTGCCACGGTGCATCCTTGGGCTGAGAGCCGTGTGCTCAGCCCTGCTTCAGAATTGAGCCAAGCCTCAAACAGCCCCAGTGCCACTTGTTGGAGGTGGAAGGATGCAATGCACCGAGCGGAGGCTGCTCCACTGGGAATGGACACCCCACCTTCACCTGGGTCAAGCTGGGGAGGGCCCAAACCGGCAATATGGAGGAGACTTTCAGGTCCAGGCCACAACCCGTTGACCTGCCTGGGCTCTGCTGCTGCAGGGGGCTGGGCAGGTCCACCGCATAGATGGGAGTCTCACTGCTGTGGTAAGAAGGCCCCGGCTGACTCCTGTGAGAGGCCCAGTACTCACTCCCTCCCACCCTCCCTCTCTGTGGAAGTGGGATCCAGGTACAGAAGAGGTCTGGAGCCCTAACTCTGCCTCCAGCCCCATCCTTGCCTGTGGGGGCAAGGGGAAGCCGCAGCTCTGCAGTTGGGCAGCACCCCCTCATGGCTCAGCCATGCTCGCTGCCTCCACTTGTGGTTACCCACCAGTGACCTGGGGCCCATGAAGTGCCAGGAGCATGATGAAGACATGAGGGTCTGGGGTCATTCCTGCCAGAGGTCACTAAATGGTAAGCGGTAAATGGCATAAATATAATTGTCATTTAACTGTTTAGCTATTTAACCATTTACATCTCGAGCCTGAACCCCAACATGCTCAAGCAGACCTCCCCCAGAGCTCCATCCTCGGGTGGCCTCTGGTTTACAGTGCTACCGATCAGGGATACACGATAGTTGAAACCAGTATGACATTATGTACAGAGGGAATTCTAATCTCTCAATCAACAAAAGATATGTAGAAAGAGACTTTGGTTTGGTACCACTGATATTAAGCCGTAAGCATGTGCATTGAGAACCAGTTGAAGAGCCCTCCAGAACGAGTCATCTTTTGAACCTGTGAGCTGCTTAGGAGGAGTGCACATGCTTAGCTGTGAACATGCTCAGTGAACACGCTCAGTTGTGATCATGAAAAGAACTGGAAGATCCTGAGATAAAGGTGCACAACAACCTTGATTGGAGCTGAAAGGGTATAAAATGGTATATACTATCTTTAAAAGGGTGTATACAATTTTTTATACTCTTTCAGCTTTCAACCTTGATTGACAGCAAAGAATGGAACAAATTATTTGGCATGGTAGCACATGATTGGAGAACACAAAGTGGTATGACGAGGAGAAGCATGTCTTGTTCTAACCTCTTTTGGTGAGGAGAGAAGTGTTTCCAGCTTGTGTCTCAATATTGAAGATAAGGGCTTCTGTTCCTTCACTGTAGAGAGTTGTTTCATCATGCTGTTTGGTGATGCATAGCTCTTTGGACTTTATTACTGCAGTTCAGCTTGACTGCTGTGTGTTCTCTTGTTGCACTGTATTACTATCCCTGTTTGTCCCTAACTACATTAAAGTCCTTTGCTATTGTACTAATATATCTTTACTGTTTTCATCTGGAGTAACCACATGGTCTAATATACTAAGAAAACAAGCTGGGCACCGAAGCCAGGGCTGCTGAAGGGGACGCCACAGTGCTGGTCAGCTTGGACTAACTTGACCCTCTTGCCACACCCGATACAGAGACAAATCATTGGTAGGATATAAAATCACAACAGATTGGCATAAGTGAAATTGGGCTGATTCCTGCTAGATTGATCAATTGATATTAGTTATCTGTGGTTTAAAAAATCCATGAGTTAACAGATATACAACAACAGTAATGACATACCACTTCCTGCCTTAGTTTCCACATTACTCTTGAACTCCCTTTGGGATGTGTACAGTGTCCTTTTATAGTTCTTGTTCCAGTTCTCTTAAACCTCATGTCTTCAGGTTAGTCCTCTCTTCACGTTCTGGGCTATGAGAGACAGCTGCTCAGAGCCCAGATGGACCTTTTATTACTTCCAGCTCCTCCAAGATGTGCTTTTGCTGGTCAGCCTCAGTTTTGGTTTTAGGTGCTCAAGGCCTATTATGAGGTGATCAGTGGCTTGGTTACCATCCCATTGTGAACAGAACCTGAAAGCCTGACTTTATTCACATACATTTATCCTATTCACTCACTAGGGAGATGGTTGGTTCCTCTCTCATTAAACCATATATTATAGGGCAAGAGTGTAGGTGTAGCAGAACCCAGCCTTAAGGATATAGACATGATAGAGATCAAAAAATCAAGCAGTATCTGAAAGCTGAACATAGATAGTTGCTCCAAATCATCACATCTACAAAATCATCACTAATTATGTAACATTTGTCTGCTTCAATTCACAGCAATAAGAAATTCCCAGTGCCACAGAGAAAATAATACTGTATTATGCTGAAGAAAACTTTAGAGGTACATTGTTATGTTCCCCATATGTTACAGGGACTGTCCTGTGTTAAATAAGGAACAAAGGTATTGGTTTTACTGGTGCTAATCCTACTTCTCACTTCAATCCTTGATGGCTCTGAACTGATCAATAAGTAGCAGTATTGGAAAAACTGCACCTGAAGGGGAAACTTGTGTCCATCAAAATCACAGTATGGCCCAAAATGTATATCCTTCCTCATGTTTACTACGGGTTCTAGGTCCCAAATATTAGGTATGGAGCAGGGGGAAGTTTGTGGACACATGCTATCATGATTCCAAGTTTGACTTCAGGAGGACGGGGGTGTGCTGTTCTTAAAAGACCAAGGACTTCAGCTTATAGAACAGTGGTGGGCAAAATACTGCCCACGGCCTGGATCTGGCCTGCCAGGCACTTTCATGCAGTCTGTGGCACCCACCAATGAATTGTACACCACCCAGCCCTTCCACCCATGACGGTGGGAGTGAGGCCCCCATATATACACATGCTGCCAACATATAATATTGCACCTGCCTCCCACTGTTGTGGGTGGAAGGGCCCAGGCCTGAGATGGCCAGCACATACCTTTTGGGTGGGGCTGTTGCTGGGGACCCGCTCAGCTTTCCTGGCATCCCCCTTACTCTGGGCAGCAGGTAGGGAAGAAGCAGGGGTTGGGGCAGGGTTGCAGCTGAGTGTGAGTGCAAAGTGTGGGGCTAGGGCTGATGGCAGCACAAAGCCCAATTCCAGGGGGGCAGCAGCTGCATGGAGCTCTGGTGGGCAGCATGTGGATGTGAGGGAGGGTGGGTGCACATGAGGACCCCACCCCACACTCCTCCCATGGCACACAGCCCCACAGGTGGCGGCAGTGGTGACAGCAGCAGCAGGAGCAGAAGGGGGAACTCAGGGTGCTTGAGCCCGGTGCTGGTGCCCAGTGGCTCATGGCTCCAGTCAGAGCTGCACATCATGGCAAGGGGTGCAGCCCCTACTGAGCCGTTTCTATCGCTAGCACTCCCTGCTGCACACACACAGCCTCTGCGCTTGCATGGCATGGGAGAGACACCCTGAGCTGGTGCCGGCTGGCTTTGTAGCAAGGGGCAGGGAAGGCAGCCAGCTCCAGCACCTGGGGCTTCCCCCCTGTGCTACGTGAGTGTGGGGGCTGCCCATGTGCAGTGGGGAGAGGCAGCCTGGTGGGAGCTGCACTGAGTGCTGGCTGGAGCCACGTGCCTCCAGGCATCAGTGCCTGTGCCAGGCATGAGCACCCCTGCCTACTGCTGCTGCACCATGGAGGGAGTGTGTGCGGGGGGTGTCCCACACCCCTCCATGCTCCCTCACAGTCCGCAAATGCCACACACCCACACTGCCCCCTAACCCCCCCCAACATACCCTATGTCCTCACACACACTGCCACACCCCCTCACTCACACTGCCACCCCCCCACACCCCATCATACACACCCACACCCATGCTCCACCCCCACAATATACAAGACTATGAATTTATTTTTGAGTTATTATGCCATCACCTCTATATACAGTATGCAAACACAAATCATGGCACAAATATTTTTTGTAATAAAATTAAAATACGTCATAGTAGGTGTTTGACTTTTGGTGTATGATTCATTCTTTTCTAGTTCTAAGATGGCAATCCCCCCTCCCAAAAGGAATATTTGGGAGGGGGGGCAAGGGGAGGGACTTACAGTGCTAAAGGGTAGGGGTTGGGGGGGGGCATCTGGTCCCAAGATGGCGACCAGGGGGTGGGGAAACTGTCATGGGGTAGGGCTACCCATGCAGTACTCAAAAGCTCACCAAACTTCGTTAAGCGGCGCTCCACCCAAAATAATTGCCCTCCCCTGTTATACAACAAGAAAGCTTGTTTATTCAGAGAGCAGTACCTTGCCTACAGTTCTGCTGTTCCCTCCTGCAATCCTCAGGTAAATAATGTAACAGCTTACACATAACACTCTTAAAGGTATTCATACAGGGGGTGCCCAAAGCAAAGAGGGGGCAACCACCTGCTATAATACCCTTGCCACTTCATAAAAGCCCTTTCACATCTCCAAGCAATGGGAAAAAATGATATCAGCAAAACTGGATAGTGAGAATTCCTGGGAGGAGAAGGTTTGATGAAAGAATGAAGCTCTCGTGCACCTTGGACCCAAACCTTAGCAGGTCTATGAAGTTAGCACACACTCACCTTTCTGGGATTCCAGGCTCTTTATCAGATGTTCACACTCTTCAACAATCTGGTCTTCAATGGCCCTCTTGCCCATTCCAAAATCTCTTAAGGTTGTGAGAGTAAATCTCCGCATCACTTTCCAGTTTTCACCATGTGAAAAAGTAATACCTGAAGTGAAGGGAAGACCTCCAGTTAGAAAAAAGAATTAAAATGAATACTTCTTAGAAATATAGGAAATGACATTCTTTTTTTGAATAATATTTAGCTGGAGTAGAGCTGGGTAGCAGCTATCCCTTTAAAAGCATTGCTTAATAGTGGGTTTATTGGAATTGTCTGCTGGGACATGAACAACACAGGTTCCAGCTCAGCAAAGAAGTGAACATGAGCCATCCACACCACTGCAGAGAACCTTAACAACTGGGTAACTGGGTTTGTTCCTTCTATTTAACTCATCTGGTACCTGCAAACCCTTCTCAACAAAATGTTCATCCAAATTTGGGAAAATCTAGGCAACATTTAGAATTTGACCTACTGGCATTTTCTAATGGAGAATGTTAAAAAAGGTTTCATTTGAAAATCTTTTTGATGAGCTGTAATTGAGAAGCACAAGAAGTTGCAGAAGAAATAGCCCTAGAAATGAAGAGAGTCTTTAGGATACTATTCATGGATTTTGGGGGGTGAAAGGGTTGCTGGTAAAAATGTGAAATTCTAATGACAATGTTTATTTAAATGCCCTAGGATTCACTAGTTAAGATTGTGTATTAAGTATAGGAATCAACACGGTTGTTGAATTATATATTAATTCCCTATTTATTTTTATAAAACAGTAAAACAAGTTAAAGAATGTACCTGTGTCTTTAAAAGGTGAGAGGCAACCACTTTCATATTGTAAACATTAACCAATGAAAAATCACAAATTGAGTCCCTGATTCATGTACTTTTAAAAGCCAGTAACAGCTGTGTTGTCTGATCCTGTCCTGGACCATTATCACTTCTCTACATAGTCTTAAACAATAGGTCCATTCGACAATGCTGCCATCAGTGTTCTCCACTGCTGTGTAGTTTCCTATTTGGTTGCAGATACAATGTCTGGCCATTTTGCAATTCATTTGAAACACCCTCAGACATGACTAAAGGCCTTATATGACCAGGGGCGTGTGTAGACAAAATGAGGGGCATGTGTGCACAACACTTTAAAGTGGGTTCAATGCTTTTGCACTGCTTTAATGGTATTTGCACACATCAGTGGTGTATTGTGCAGTAATTCCAGCCGCTGTAGCAAATTTGGTGGCATAATGCGCCTTAAATTACTTAGGGCGGAGCAAACTAAAACTCCTCGGAGGAGTTGTTTTAGTTTGCTGCCCTACAGCCATGGAGTGAAGCACTGGGCTCTGTGCAGCTCACGAGCTCTGCAGGAAGCCCTGCAGGCAGCCTGGCAGCAGCCTGGGAAAGCAAGCTCCACCCAAGGGAAAAAAAAAAAAAAAAAAGCATTAATCTTTTATTCCCGCCCCCCCGGAGCCTGAGTTGTGCGGTGGCCCAGTGCTTCCCTCCACAGCTGCATTCATTCAATTAAAATTCTCCCCGCTATGCATGTTCAGAAGTGATTCTGTACTGCAGCAGAAGCATGTAAGTTAAACTATGCTACTGTAATTCAGCTGGGCCACAGTGAAGCCTAACCCCCATAACAAGCAGCCGAGCAGTTACCTCACTGGGCCAGGCTCAAGATTTACTTCGTCCAGGGGAGCAGAACTCTGATCTCCTACACCTGAACTTAACCCCATGGAGGAAAACTAGTTTTTAGTTTGTCTAATCCTTAGCTACAGAAGAGGCAGGTCTTAGGCAGTCTTATCTCTGCCTATGACTCACTCAGGTTGTTTCTTCAGTCACCAACATCAGTTTATCTTTGATCAAATCCCTGGACATGCCTGAAATTACTGTTACATGTACTGATTTACAAGTTGGTGGTTGTAACTGTGTTAGTCTAAGGACATAGGCAGACAAGGTTCTTTGGGTAGATGTGATACCTTTTATTAGACCAACTAAATGGTCTAATAAAAGGTATCACATCTACCCAAAGACCCTTGTCTGATTTACAAGGACACTCATCCAAAGAGGCATTATTAGTCCCTGACCTATCTGCTCCTCCTACGGCAAAACTTTTCTGCTTGCTTGAATAAGGTTTGCTTACAAGCAACAATAAAACTAAATCACCATATCCATTTGAAAAGTCTTCAAATACTGGGACTTTAGGCCTCTCTGCAAATGCATCTGCCTGGTTCACCAGAGCTTCCTTCACTGTCTCGTAGTCTGAGAGCACCACCATCTTTGTGAATCCCATCTGAATGCTGAAGATGGGGCCATAGGTTTCTGAAAGCTTAAATGGGAAGAAAATACAATTATTTAAAGTGGTAGCCCAAATTTTTCCACAGAAGTCAGCAGAGCTATACCAGAGATGGACTTGGTTCAAAATACTAAAAAAAGTTGACAGTATAGAAAGAAAAAATTAGACAAATATAGAAAGGAATGACAATCCATTATCACTCTGCCTTCTTTGGACTGATTTGTAGGAATGGGATTGATGTTTGTGGACACAATATCACACCTTTAAATATTTTTACCTTAACTGTTGCCATTTCAGTTGCAGTAAGGAGATTTTAGCTGCCTGTTCCCATAAATTGGTCAGGTATATGTCTAGGTATTATTGGTACTCTGAGTTCATTGTGGATGGAGTCATTTATTAAGGCAGCCTGGGCTCACAAAAGTGGAATCTGAATTAAGATGTAGCTGAAAATCACACCTTGATTTTACCTACCAGTGCATATTAGAATGACGAGGTTTCAGTTTCAGAGTTCTGATACATGTGTGGGCCATGTTTGGAGAAAGGGGCTTGTAAGTTCATAAAGCTCATAAAGGTGTCAGAAGTTCTGTTAGCTCTGGAGTTGTGACATATTTGTGAGCACCAGGTATGGGATCCGGTGACAGTAGGGAATTCCCAGTAAGTGTCAATGATAATGTACGCAAGGACTAATAATAGCAATAACAAAGAGAAAGTGTGTTTTGGGCCTTCTGGAAAAAGAAGAGTGAGAAGTTAAGACAGGAAAGAGGAGTTCGGAGCAGCTGTAGGAAAGCCAGTGTGTGGAGAAGTGCAGAGAGAGCTAAACACTCAGAAGGTAGTGGATAATAGCTAGCATGGGGGTTAGGGCATCATGGTGAAAAGTGAGAGAGACTCCTTCTGGTTGACAAGGGCCTGGAGCCCAGGTTTTCTGGCTTCCCACATGACTACCCCAACCACTCATCACTCTGGGGAAGAAGCTGCTGGCTTGATCATGCTCTCAACAGGTGCCACTAGTGGAAACAACCTCATCCTTCTCTGTGACCTGCTGGCAGCCATGGAGCACTTTGGCCTGAACATCAGCCTTGTTTCACTGGACCAGGATAAAAATTCTTTGACTGGGTCCATCATAACTTCTTGTTCCAGACTCTAGAGGCCTTTGGCTGTGGGTCTGTCTTCACCTTTGCCATCCAGCTCCTATTTCAGGACATCTCAAGCCTCTCAAAAATGAATAGCATACTGTACACCCTGTTCCTAGTGTGCAAAGTCATCTACCAGGGCTGCCCTATGGTCTCACCATTGAGCCACTGCTAGCCTCCACTCCTCCAAAAAAACCCCAAAAATTTGAGCCCAGGAATATGCATCAACGGTCTGGGTGGCCCTCCTGCATACACCATGATTCAGGAGGATCAACGATTGCCATTCTGAGCCACTGCTTCATGTGCTGCATTACTGCCCTACAGACCTAGCCCTCCCATTGGTGATAGCTTCCACTGCTATCCCTCCCATCAAGGTGACAGTGTATGCCGATGATGTAACTATCTTGGAGAGCAGTGAGAACAACATCTGGGCCCTGATAGCCTGTCAATGTATCTATGAGACTGCCTCCTCAGCCTGTTCTAATTGGGCCAAACTGCCTTATGACCTAACAGCCCTTTCTATTGAGCACTTGGGCTAATGTACGGCTTCCAGATATGCCGGGTGGGGCTGTCTGGGTGTTATTGTGGCTTCGAGGTTCTGGGCAGCCTTCCTCAGCCCACCGCTATACCCAGCCCAAAACTGGCAAGGGGCCATTGAGGAGGTCGAGGTGCAGCTTCAGCAGTGGTGCTGGCACCTATCTGGTCTTTCTTACCATGGGCAGGTCATGAGTATTAAAAACTCTGTGGCTGATGCCCCGTGGCACAGGTGTACCATGTGTGTGGGGGAACAGGTGAAGTACAAAATCATTGTCACTATATTGTAATTGTTCTTCTTTGGTTACTTTTTGTTTCCATGACTGACCCAACATAGGGTCACTCCCTGTGCTTTTAATTGGTTGCTTTTAAGAGTTTTTTCAATTCTTTAAAACTTTTTTATAATAAACGTAAATAAAAATAAATCTCTCTCTCTCTTTCTCTGTCACTGTTTCTCTTGCATTTTGTTGCCCCATTTGGGTGTAGACATAGTCTACACTGCATAGTCTACACCCTGTTTGGGTGTAGACAGTCATACATGCATACAGAACTACACATCTGGACATGTAATGCCAAAAATGTCTTGAAGATGACCAAAAATATCCACATAGAGGACCAGGGGGGACTAGAATATCAGATTTGGTGATCTACTGTCCTCCAAGGACCAGAACAGAAGTGATAGTACACTAGTGGGAGAAAGATCCAATTCATTGGCAGGTGCTGGGAGAAATCATGATGATGATAGCTAGAGGGATGCAGGGGAGGAAACAGCAGAAGAGCTAACTGTGCTTAACATACATTAATTTCCCCACTTTTCCAGCTAAGGTTAAAAAGTCTGCT